CACTCTGAGTCTAGAGCCTGTTCGGGAAATATCAGGGTCTGCAATGACGTTTCCCTCCGACACGGAGGAAGTACCGGTTGCTTGGAGACGCCGAGCGGCCTGGAAGTCACCGCCCAGGAGGCAAGTAGGCCGCTATATCAAGAGGCCGGGCGGAGAGCCCAGCCTCATTCTTCAGTGTGCAAGTTTGGCGACACGCTGCTGGAGCGCTGGCTGGAGTAGCCCTGGGTACCACAACCCTACTGGGAGGAAGAAGCCGGGAGCTTCCACCTCGGCTATGGTGGAGCTCCACCGGTAGGAGGAGGGAGTAGAAGGGGACCAAGGGGGAGAGTGGCGAGGTACTTACTGGCTATGGTAGACACCATCTTCATCTCCTTGCTAGGCGCTGCATCAGGAAGGCCCCAGTGGGGGTAGTGCCGCATCAAGGAAGCTCGGGACAGAGTCAGGCATGGTGGCTGAGTGGGCAGCGGCATAGTTGCATGGTGATGACCTCGAAGTGGGGCAGCGGCATAGCTGCTNGGACAGAGTCAGGCATGGTGGCTGAGTGGGCAGCGGCATAGTTGCATGGTGATGACCTCGAAGTGGGGCAGCGGCATAGCTGCTTTGAGTGGTCCCTTGGACAGGAAGCTGAAGCCTTAGTAGTCCACCATAGCCTCGACCTGCATGTAGAGGAAGAGGAAGGGTTGCCATGGCTATGGTGGACCTCATGTTGTGCCTGCAGTAGAAGTGGGATTCAGACATTGATTCTTGTTCAGTCATTCAACATTATTATTGTTATTTCTTGTTTGAATAAGTGGGCGGAGATAAGGAGGAAGGGATTGGTTGGCGAAGAAGAGGAGCCTTGACATTGGTCTATGCTGGAGTACATCATCATCTTCTTCTTTCTCACTTCTTCGTCTGCTTCTTTCCCTCTCTTTCCTCTTCAGTTCATTCATTTCTTTTTGCAATTGGATGGCATTGTACTTTCAGATGAATGTATACTTCGAAAGTGGCCAGGATCGTAACATCGATATCAAAGCGGATTCTACTTGCCGGCGAGAGTTGACTTTGTTGCCATAACCCTAACCCTAGTGGTAAGGGCTAACCACTTAGGGTTAGCGCTGGAAGTTAGCGTTAAGTGGGGCAGCGTGGTGAAGGGAAGCTGCTTCCACCCGGCAGAGCCGTGTAGGGTCGACACTAGACCCGGCCAGGTTAATAGTGCATGTTTGTGGTGGCGAGACACAAGGTGGGACTTCGTGATGCAATTTGAGAGAGGCGACAATGAAGGGCACCTACAACTTGAATCTGGACTTCAAGGAAGACAAGGAGTGACTTTAGGGATCCCCTCCAGTCAGGCGAGCTTGAGGGTGGCAGCCATATCTGCACCTACGGACTGCAAGTTGCTGCTTTGACCTTCAACATTGACGGGGGATCCGGCTTTGTACTTTGGGGTAGATATTGACCCTCCTAGATGATAGGACACTAGCGTAGAGGATGCTAATTGGGTTAGGAGGACTATGTGAGGAGGGGGTGAGTTCTTTTCATCTCAAGAGCCCGGCCACTCAGGTAAGTGCCGTGCCACCAGGGTACCCATGTGTGTGTGCATGGAATTGACTGCCTATTGCGGTTCTCTGGGTTCTTCTTCCATCCTCCATAGTCTTGATTGTGTGTGAGGTGTGTGAACTGCCTACTTACCTGATGAGTGAATGAATGGAGTATCTTGTTTGCCATGTGATCTCTCTCTACAGTGCTTTGTTTATTTCATTCTGAACGGTTGTAGTCTACAGGTTCTTTCTGGGGCAAAATTTCGTTTTTCAATTGGTAGGGACAGAGTAGGTCGTTGTGGAACTCTTGTTGGTTGGGACCCGGTTCTGACTCCATTGGGACCGTTTGGGACTCAGTGGGACTGGGCCCAAACAAGAAGGGCCCCTCAGGCCAAATCTGTTGACGTCAGTTACCTTACTCTATCTGATTGGGACGCGGACTTTACGCTTTCGGACCAGGACAATCACTGCGGAGGGGATCTCCGCTGAGACGTTTTATCAGACTTTACCGCACGATCCGCCACATGACTCGCACCTTGGACACCACTCAATTCTCTCTTGCATTTCGCTATACATCTTGAATCTGATTTGCTGTGTTTTCACGGAGCTGAGGCCGACTAGGCTTGGGAGGACCCCATACGTAGTCTGTCCAGACCGTGTGGCTAGATCAGATCTCTCTGATCTTCTTTTTTTTGTTCTGATGACTGCCCTAAAGTCCAAATGAATTGTCGCTCCGGCTAGGAGTTCTACCTTCTCTTCTGACTGATTTCAAGCTGTTTCTTACATTGGGTTCATTAATGCCTGCGTCTACACGGTCGCAACAAGAGAGAGAGAGAGAAGAGAGAAGCTTCTGAGTGTTGCTCTTGAGGGAGTGAGGAGAGGGAAGAGGAGTGTTCATCCCAGACAAGTAAGGAAGTACGGGCCCCTCTTGAGAAACTTATTGACTCCCTCGTCCTCCATCATGGCATCTGCAACAGATTGAAAGCTGCAAATGGACCTTGCCCCTGAGGCAGAGAAAGCGCAGTACCGATTCTTCTATGAGAAAGCATTGAAGAGGGAGGAGAAGGTAAAGGCTCATGAAGCCATTTTCTGCACCTTCCTGCCCTGACCGATGCGGAGGTGGAAGAGAAAACCGTTCCACTCCTCCGGGCTTTGGTGGACGTCCGGACTTTTGAGGACCACACTGGCCAACGTGCCAAAGTGTTCGACGAATTTAAGAAGTTGCGCGAGGACATGGCCCTGATGGCGCAGCAGCACCGTGACCAGCTGCAACAGTTTGCTAATGTGCAGCCAGCTCAAAGCATCCTTCCGTCTGCCTACCCTACTTCTAGTGCTGCGTGTCAGTCTGTTTTTGCCCCTCTAAATATGTCTTCTTCTACTTCTTCTTCGTCTTTGAGTGTGGCGAACAGCCAATCCGGATCTGCAGGGGATGCCCAAAATACCCTTGCTGAGTCCAATCAGGCTATAAGAGAATAGACCTAAACAACTGGCTAAAGGCTACGCCTACTGCCACACTCGAGGATCTCTTGATTAAACAGTCTGCTGATCCACATGCTGCAGCCAGAGCTAGACTCAAGCTTGACAAGCTCAAGCACAGCAAGTGGACCGACACCATGCATAGTCTGCAGCAGTATGTTAGTAAAGTCTTTGATACTCCGGATTTGGAGATGACTACGCAGTCTTGTTTGGATGTGATAAAAGGTACGGTCCCCTCTACTCTAAAAGATCGCCCAAGGCTCGGACTCTGCGCATATACAGATTGGCTTACCCTCATGCGGGATTTAGTCAAGCTGGAGGCACAAGACCTCCCGGGTGGATCAAGTGGCAAAAAGACCACCAGCCACAAACGGTTTCCAGGCAGCAACCGTTTTGCAACACACGATCTACTTGAGGCTGACGAGGAGACCCTCGTGGAGGAACCTTCTCTTGATGACAATCAAGAGCAAGACTGCGGGGTATCTTGCTCTTTGTCAGCCCATGAGTCTCAGTATGTGAACGACGATGAATCTATGAATGCCTTCAAAAAGACTGCCTTTAAAAGTAAGGAACCGAGGACCACAATGAAGAACAACACTAACACTATCCTTCTTCCCAAGGGAGTGAAGATTCTACCCAAACCGGAAAATCCTACCACAAAACCATAGGTAGATCTCCGGATCAGTGAAAGTGAGTGGAAACACAAGGTGAGAAAGGGGTTTGCCTGCACTGCACTAAACCGCGACATTCAGTCCAACATTGTTTCAGATTGCAGCAGGGAAACCAGCAACGGGGGTAGAGGCATCATCAACACACTCTACAGATGGAGAAGTTGAACATGTAAGTGTAGATCCTTCTTTGGATTCTGATCCCACTCAACAAACCTCTCCTGAGACCCCATCTGATGCTGATTCCAAGGCTCTGAGAAAATACACATCATATACAAGGAGCCTTGGGTAGAGTCGGAAGAAATTAACTTCCATGCTCTGTTGACGCGCTGGGCTCACATGAAGCAAGAACGCGCGCAAGGGAGGACGAAGTTGATCTTCTTCAAACTCTACATTAATGGCCGTTACATCCGTGCGCTGGCTGATTGTGGTGCAACCGCGAACTACTTCTCACCGCACGACATTCGTAAGGCACGCTTGGGGATGAAGCAAGTGACCTTGCAGAATCCTTGCTGGACCCAAGTGGGCAACCAAGAGGTTGTCACATCTACGCATGCAGTCAAAGGTGTGCGCACTACCTTTGACGCTAACCGCACGATCACGCATGAGTTGAACTTCTATGTCCTTGATCAGTGCCCCTTCGACACGGTTATTGGCTTGGGCTGGTTGCAGGCCCAATGAGAAAGAACCACATGGCAGGACTCACAATTCGTGGTCAAAGATGCCATGGGAATCGAGCGTCCAGTCCTCTTGGATGAGTCACGCGAGTCCCAAGTAACTTTTCTCAATGCAATGCAATTCTGCAAAAAGTGGCGCAGGCGCAAAGCTGATGAGCAAATGTATATAGCCTTTGTTAGGCCTGCTCATGTGCCTTCTATTTTTGCTGTACATAATGATTATACTTTGCATGTTTTTTCTATTTCTGATGCAACTACTTCTACCTCTACTAAATCCGACTGATCCAAATGACTCTATTTCTAATCCGGTTGTGTTGGGTGGACCTATGACATCCGATATGCTTGCTCCTGAAAGTGATGATCCCCCTCCGGAAGTTCCGCTGGAAATTTGCAACCTTCTCAAACGATTTCCTGAAGTCTTGGCCGAACCGCATGGAGTCCCCGTGCGCCCGTTCCGACACAAGATCGAGTTGATTGAAGGTAGCACTCCTCCAAAAGGTTGTGTCTATCGAATGGGCTCAAGCGAATTGGAGGAGTTGCGAAGGCAGATTGATGATATGATTGGGAAGGGATGGATCAAACCAAGTGCGTCTGAGTTTGGTGCACTGGTTCTGTTTGTCCCTAAGAAAGGAGGCAAATTGCAGATGTGTATTGATTACCGCGGATTGACTCGGATCACAAGAAAGAATGCGTATCTTTTGCCACGTATCGATGATTTGCTTGATGTTGCAGGTGGGTGCAAAGTCTTCAGCAAGATCAATCTCAAGTCTGGCTACCACCAGATTGAAGTCGACCCTGCAAACCAGCACAAAACCGCATTCAAAACTCACGATGCGCAATACGAGTTTCCCGTCATGCCCTTCGGCCTCAAGAATGCGCCAGCCACCTTTCAAAGTCTCATGGACAAAGTGTTCCGCCATCAGATTAACCGGTTTGTTGTTGTTTACCTGGATGACATATTCATATTCAACAAATCGATGGAGGAGCACATGAGACATCTTGAGGAAGTGTTGCAGGTCCTCAAGAAGGCGCAACTCCATCTCAACTTGGAGAAATCTGAGTTTGGGAGGGATAGCGTCATCTACCTTGGGCACCGGTTGTCTGCTGCAGGTCTAGAGCCTGAGGCAACCAAGGTTGAGGTCATCCGCAATTGGCCTCAACCAGCCAATGTCTGCGAGTTGCGTTCTTTTCTTGGTCTTGCGTCATACTACCGTAAGTTTGAACCTGAATTTTGTATCATCGCTCGTCCGCTGTCTAGATTGACCAGCAAGAATGTGTCCTATACATGGGATGGGGAATGCACGACAACCTTTCAAGCACTAAAGGAGGCTTTGGTAAGTCATCCGGTGCTCCGCATTGCAGATCCCAAACTCACATTCGTAGTAACTACGGATGCCAGTTTGTATGGGATTGGTGCAGTGCTGCAACAAGATGACGGCGACGACCTACGACCGCTAGAATTTTACAGCAAACATATGCCCAGTCACAAGGTATGCCTCCACTTACATGCCAGAACTTTATGCCTTGAGAGAGGCACTAGACGACGGGAAGCACTACCTCTTGGGTCGCCATTTCAAGCGTTCTCATACCACGAGACCGTGAAATAGGTTCAAACACAGAACAATCCCTCAACTACACTGAACCCGCTGGTTGCATGAGATTGCTGTGTATGATTTTCAAATTAAGCACAGGAATGGTTGTTATAATCGAGTACATGACTTGCCTTGTGGGTTCCTACGACCTGCGTTAAAATCTGAAGGAGGAACTCGTAGAGCATACTGCCAAGGATCCGGAACTCAGTCCCATCCTTTAGCAGATTCGGGCTGACCCTAGCAGTCAGCCTGATTTCCATGAATGTAAGGGCCTTCTCTTCCGACGTTATGGGAAGCATGACCGATTGTGTGTGCCCAACCATGAGCCGATCATGACTCACTTCTTGGATTTGGCTTATGGCCGGAGTGGACATTTCGGTGTTAAGAAGACATACATGAATCTGTTAGAAAAATTTGTGTGACCTGGAATGAAAAGGATGGCACAAAGGTTTGTGAGTGAGTGTGAAGTTTGTCAACGCATCAAACCGTCTCGACAGAAGCCCTATGGGTTGCTGCACCCTCTTCCTATCCCTGATGGCACGGGTGAATCTGTTCCCATGGACTTCACGGACATGGGTAAAAAGAGCAGAAACGGTTATTCACAAGTAATGGTGATCGTCGATCGTTTTTCCAAATTTCTGAATCTAATCCCATTACCACCTCACGCCCTAACTGACCTTGTGATCGAAGAATTTAACAAAAGGTACATCCTGCAATGCGTTCCCCCGAAAACTCTTGTGAGTGATCGGGATACCAGGTTCATAAGTGCAGATTGGAAGGACTTCACCTCCCAAACCTACGACATGAAACTCAAGATGACTGGCCGAGGAGATCAACCAGACCGTGATCCAACTTCTCAGGGCTCTTATCGTGCCTGACCAGAACTGTTGGGATGAGGAGTTCCGGATTGTGCAGGGGTTGTACAACAACTCCATCCACTCCTCCACCGGGATGACGCCTAACTGGCTGCATCTTGGATGGAAAATCCGCAATCCTCTATCATATATGTTCCCGGAACAGCCACCTGGCCTAACACCTGGCCAGCTAGGCTACAACACTAAGTATGATCGTTTGCTCAAAGTTGTTGTCGCAACTATGGAAAGGCGACGCAGTGCCATGATTAAGCATTCAAACAAAAAGCGCCAGCCTGATCCTTTCACAGTGGGAAGTTATGTCTGGGTCAAGATGTCTGAGCTTTTCTGAAGAAGAAGGCGTATCAAGAAAACTTTTTCCTCAGTACTACGGCCTCTGGCAGGTGATGAATCGAGTAGGAAATGATTCCTTCGATCCTTCTTACACGATTGATGTGCCTGCTAATCTGCGCACATACCCAGTCTTTCACGCATCGAAGTTATTTCCGTATGAGCCACCTTACACATTCAAGTACCGAGAATCGATGATTCCCCGCGCAATCAATGGCGGTCACGAGGCTGATAGAATCGTCGAGCAAAGTGGAAAGGGGAGAAACAGACAGTATAAAGTGCATTTTTTGTACCACCCACTGAATGACTTCTACTGGATTGCTAAGAAAGACCTACTGCAGAGTGCACCTCGCGTCGTTAACGCCTATGAACGATTAATCAGTTCTGAACAGCAACCAAAATTCACTGCTACCCTGACTCCTACGGAACACACCCGGTCTCTCTTTGCTATCTACGCCTATGATGCATTATGCAAGGACTCTGATTGAGTTACTCGCTTGAAGGGCCTCGCTCTTGAGAGGGGGGTAGTGTAATGACCCATCATAACACAGACTGAGAACACTGCTGATTTTTTAAGTTCTCCTGATGGAATGGATGCATTGCTGAGATTCCCGCATTCTGCCGTGTTTTCTAAGTCTGTCTGTGTGTGCGTGCTTGTGACCTGCGTGCCTCTCTGAGTGTTTGTCGGTATGAGTGTGTGTGTGACCCTCAAGGGTACTTGTTTGTTTGGCAGGCCCGTAGGGCCGGTACTTACCTGTGGCCGTGGCATTGAGGGTTGTAGCAGGAAAAACACTCAAGTGGCGAAGCAAGCGGCCCCGCGGCCCTTGGGGTAGCGGAAAAACACTCAAGTAGGCCAGTAGGCCGATACTGCACCCCACTGCAGTTGACGTGAGGGGGTATTGGAGGCCGAGCAGAAAAAGACAAAGTTGGCATTTTTAGAGTCCAGTAGCGGTAGGGTAGGTCAAGGCCGGTACCAGTCCAACCAGTCTGAGTCTAGAGCCTGTACGGGAAATATCAGGGTCTGCAATGATGTTTCCCTCTATGGTAGACACCATCTTCATCTCCTTGCTAGGCGCTGCATCAGGAAGGCCCCAGTGGGGGTAGTGCCGCATAAAGGAAGCTCGGGACAGAGTCAGGCATGGTGGCTGAGTGGGCAGCGGCATAGTTGCATGGTGATGACCTCGAAGTGGGGCAGCGGCATAGCTGCTTTGAGTGGTCCTTTGGACAGGAGGCTGAAGCCTCAGTAGTCCACCATAGCCTCGGCTTGCATGTAGAGGAAGAGGAAGGGTTGCCATGGCTATGGTGGACCTCATGTTGTGCCTGCAGTAGAAGTGGGATTCGGACATTGATTCTGGTTCAGTCATTCAACATTATTATTGTTATTTCTTGTTTGAATAAGAGGGAGAAGATAAGGAGGAAGGGATTGGTTGGTGAAGAAGAAGAGCCTTGACATTGGTCTATGCTGGAGTACATCATCATCTTCTTCTTTCTCACTTCTTCTTCTTCTTCTTTCCCTCTCTTTCCTCTCAAGTTCATTCATTTCTTTTTGCAATTGGATGGCATTGTACTTTCAGATGAATGTATACTTCGAAATTGGCCAGGATCGTAGCACTTTGTATAAATCTTGGACTAGCACTTCTCTAAAGAGGGTGCTGCCGAAATTTTTCCAAATCTAAGGAGTTAGTTAAATTTTGTCTCAGTTAAACTCGGGTTCTGCTCTGGGATCATATCTGACTTAGTAAGAATCAAAAAAAGTCTTCTTTACTAAAGGGAGGGCTGCCCAAATTTTTACTAATTCAAAGAGTTAGACAAAATTTGACTTTCTCGAATTAGAGATTGTTTTGTTTTTATATTTGAGCTAGTATAAATTCTGATAAGGCACTTTTCCTACGGGAAGCACAACCGAAATTTTCTTAGTTTAAGGGGGTTAGATTATAAGGAGTTAGTTAACTTATGTCTTAGTTAAACTCAAGTTCTGCTCTGGGATCATATCTCACTTAGTAAGAATCTAAAAAGTTTTCTTTTGTAAAGGGAGTGCTGCCCAAATTTTTACTAATTTAGGGAGTTAGACAAAATTTGACTTTCCAGAATTAGAGATTGTTTTATTTTCATATTTGAGCTAGTATAAATTTTGAGAAGGCACTTTTCCTACGGGAGGCGCTGCTGAACTTTTCTTAGTTTAAAGGAGTTAGATTGTATTTTGACGGGGGCAATTCTGAAACGGTTTTCACCTTTTTTAGCAGTAGCAGATGCAGTACCCAGGGTTCGATCCCTAGACCTCGTCCTACCCATGTACAGTACCCACGTAGACCCCGAGAGTTGAACCTGTGACCTGTATATATTCGTAGACAGTTGGTAGGTCTGTCGTAGGTCCAAAGGTAGCAGGGGTTCGATCTGTAGATCTGTAGGGTAGAAGTCTTAGCGAGTTCCAGAAGTCTAGCTGTAGTCCTTCTAGAAGGTCGACAAGTGGGCAAGTGGTCAAGTGGCGAGTCACGTGGTGAGTCACGTGGTGAGTCACGTGGTGGACTCACTGCAGTGCAATTGCAGTACAACTACAGTAGGTTAGCAGTGAGTCCACAGTCAGTCAGCGGTAAGGTCCAGTCAGCCCCAGTCCGGTCCAGCAAATACCACGGGGGACTGTGAGCACCATGGGCAGATGGCAAAGGGCAGACCAACGAGTTTCCGAAGTATAAATCAAGAGGCATCGCCCAGCCCTTCATTCATTCCTGCGTGAGCCATGCGGAAGCGCTGTCACAGCGACTTGTGCAAGGAGGTCTGCAGTGAGCCCGGAGGACACAGTGGGCGAGAGAGAAGGAGCTTAGTATAGTGATAGGGTAGAGGCAGCCATAGCTGCTTAGCTGTAGTTAGTGTGAAGTGTGTGTGTGTATGTGTCAGTGTTTAGAGTGACGCGTGTGGGATATCCAGGGTGATCCGGTGTATGTGAACAGTGAGTTGTTTGGGCGCTGAGTCGCCATAGCCAGTTGAAAGTGAACTCTTATCT